TAGCCAGGATGGTCTCGATCTCCTGACCTCATGATCCGCCCGTCTCGGCCTCCCAAAGTGCTGGGATTACAGGCTTGAGCCACCGCGCCCGGCCGCCACTTGGGTTCTCTATGAATTATTGATCGCCACAGTAATGCTGTGTAAGAAACAACCCCAAAATGACAGTAGTGCTTATTACCCACAGGCCTGGGTGGTTGGTTAGGTGGCTCTGCTGACCTGCCTGGGGATCGATGACTAGCTGAAGGCTGATCTAGAATGGGCCAAGCTGGAGCCATTGAGACAACTTGGGTCTGCACCATGTAGTTTATTTATTTATTTATTTATTTGAGACAGAGTTTCGCTCTTGTCGCCCAGGCTGGAGTGCAGTGGCACAATACCAGCTCACTGCAACCTCTGCCTCCTGGGTTCAAGTGATTCCCCTGCCTCAGCCTTCCGAGTAGCTGGATTACAGGTACCTGCCACCACACCCAGCTAAGTTTTTGTATTTTTAGTAGAGACGAGGTTTCACCATGTTGGCCAGGCTGGTCTCAAACTCCTGAGCTCAGGTGATCTGCCTGCCTTGGCCTCCCATAGTGCTGGGATTACAGGCATGGAGCCTGGCTTTTTGTTGTTGTTTTTTTCTTGTTTTTGAGACAGTCTTGCCCTGTCAACCAGGCTGCAGTGCAGTGGACAATCTTGGCTCACCGTAATCTCTGCCTCCTGGGTTCAAGTGATTCTCGTGCCTCAGCCTCCTGAGTAGCTGGGACTACAGGTGTGCACCACCATGCCTGGCTAATTTTTGCATTTTTAGCAGAGACGAGGTTTCACCATGTTGACCAGGCTAGTCTCAAATTCCTAGCCTCGAGTGAAACCGTCTCCCTGAGTGAAACCGTCTCCCTCGGCTTCCCAGAGTGCTGGAATTACAGGCATGAGCCACTGCTCCCGGCCTCATTGTAGTTTTGATTTGCATTTCTCTAGTGATTATAGACAAGCACTTTAAAGCCTCTGCTTGTGTCACATTCCCCAACATCCCATTGGCCAAAACAGGTCTCATGGCTGAGTCCTCACTAAGAATGGGATGGCCCCCGGTGATGTGGGGCATGGATGGTGAGGGGCATGGATGATGGGCAGGCTGGCTGGGCAACCGGGGCTATGTTTGTTACCTACTACAAGTTCATTATTGTCAGTGACTGGCCAAGAGTCTCAACATACCAGAGGTTCTGTATGTGTTTTTTGTTTGTTTGTTTTTGTTTTGAGACAGAGTCTCGCTTTGTCACCCAGCCTGGAGTGCAGTGGCACAATCTCGGCTCACTGCAACCTCCGCCTCCCAGGTTGAAACAATTCTCCCACCGTAGCTTCCCGAGTAGCTGGGATTACAAGCATGCACCACCACGCCCGGCTGATTTTTGTATTTTTAGTAGAAACGGGGTTTTGCCATGTTGGCCAGGCTGGTCTGGAACTCCTCACCTCAGGAGATCTGTCTGTCTTGTATCCCAAAGTATTGGGATTACAGGTGTGAGCCGCTATGCCCAGCTGCTCTGTATGTGTTACTGCATCTTAAGAACACATACGGTCAGGTGTGGTGGCTCATGCCTGTAATCCCAGCACTTTGGGAGGCCGAGGCGGGCGGATCAAGCAATTCTCCTGCCTCAGACTCCCAAATAGCTGGGACTACAGGTGCACGCCACCATGCCCAGCTAATTTTTTGTTTTTGTTTTTGTTTTTGTTTTTGAGACAGAGTTTCCCTCTTGTTGCCCAGGCTGGAGTGCAATGGCGCGATCTCAGCTCACCACAACCTCCGCCTCATAGTTTCAAGTGATTTTCCTGCCTCAGCCTCCCTACTAGCTGGGATTACAGGCATGTGCCACCATGCCCAGCTAATTTTGTATTTTGAGTAGAGGCAGGGTTTCTCCATGTTGGTCAGGCTGGTCTCGAACTCCTGACCTCAGGTGAAACACCCGCCTCGGCCTCCCAAAGTGCTGGGATTACAGGCGTGAGGCACTGCGCCCAGCCACAATTTTTTGTATTTTTAATAGAGATGGGGTTTCACCATGTTGGCCAGGATGGTCTCAATGTTTTGACCTTGTGATCTGCCCGCCTCAGTCTCCCAAAGTGCTGGGGGCATGAGCCTGACCTTTCCTGAGGTCAAGAGTTCCAGACCAGCCTGGCCAATGTGGTGGTGAAACCCTGTCTCTAATAAAAATACAAAAATTAGCCGGGCGTGGTGGCGCGTGCCTATAATCCTAGCTACTTGGGAGGCTGCCCGAGAGGCGGAGGTTTCAGTCAGCTGAATCGTGCTATTGCACTCCAGCCTGGGCGACAGAGTGGGATTCCGTCTCAAAAAAAAAAAAAAGAACATATACCTGATGAAAAAAAAAAATCCTAATACAGGAGGACTGTCCAAAAAGGGACATTGTTTAGAAATTAAGAAGGGTAGTAACAACTTGATCTTGCCTTGTACAGGATTGGAGGCTGTTGTCATTGGAGAAGTTCATGAGAATGTTACTCTGCACTGTGGCAACATCTCGGGACCGAGGGGCCTGGTGACCTGGTACCGGAACGACTCGGAGCCTGTCTTCCTTCTCTCATCCAACTCTAGCCTCCCGCCAGCTGAGCCTCGCTTCTCTCTAGTGGATGCCAGCTCCCTGCACATCAAATCGCTGGGCCTGGGAGATGAGGGGAATTACACCTGCCAGGAGATCCTGAATGTGACTCAGTGGTTCCAAGTGTGGCTGCAGGTGGCCAGTAAGTGGGGCTGGCAGGGACCAGGGCTGGAGAGGTGCTCAGAGCCTTGGAAAGGAGGAGACCATGGTCAGGAATGTGGGTTTTGGGTTCCGATGGCCTGGAATTCTTTCTGGGCCCTGCCACTTGCAAGCTGAGGGACCTCTCACACCTCTATTTCCTCACCTGTAAAATGGGGATAAAAATAATTCCTGTGGCTGGGCGCAGTGGCTCATGCCTATAATCCCAGCACTTTGGGAGGCCAAGGCGGGCGGTCATCACTTGAGGTCAGGAGTTCGAGACCAGCCTGGCCAACATGGTGAAACCCCATCTCTGTTAAAAATACAAAAAATGCCTGCTGGGTGCAGTGGCTCACACCTGTAATCCCAGCACTTTGGGAGGCCGAGGCAGGTGGATCACAAGGTCAAGACATGGAAACCATCCTGGCCAAGATGGTGAAACCCCGTCTCTATAAAAAATACGAAAAATTAGCTGGGCGTGATGGCATGCACCTGTAGTCCCAGCTACTTGGGAGTCTGAGGCAGGAGAATCACTAGAACCCGGGAGGCCTGGAGGTTGCAGTGAGCTGAGGTTACAGTGAGCTGAGATTGCACCACTGGACTCCAGCCTGGCAACAAAACGAGACTCGTCTCAAAACAAAAGAAAACCGCGGGCACAGTGGCTCACGCCTATAATCCCAGCACTTTGGGAGGCCGAGACGGGCGGATCACGAGGTCAGGAGATTGAGACCATCCTGGCTAACACAGTGAAACC